ACAAGGAGGACCCGATAACAAAGGAGCTTACCACGTATCCGAAGACCAGTGCGCTTGATCTTGTTCTGGCAAAGGAGACTGAAAGCAGTAGCGTGGGGTCGTCTCAGAGCACCCCTGCTTCGGACAACACTCTAAATAGGGCGTTGAACGTAATGAAAAACAAGGATAAGCTCAGTAAGCCGTCGTCAGCTGGTCGTGTGGCCGGCAAAGGCTTGTCCACAAAATGGTCGTCATACTATACCGCTGGTGGGCGAAAGGAGAAAAAGACCAGCTCGGAAAGCCAGTCGCGCGAGGTTGAAGAACTCAAGGCACAAGTGGCGTGGATTCCGGAGATTATCCAAGAGCAAGTGCAACAACAACTGGGAACGATGCTCACCGGCATTATGCCTACCTTGATTCATGGGCTGACGACGTGGATTGCGGGTGGCCAATAGGGGCCGCCCTCGATTCCCAACTTCACAACCAGCAACTTGCACAATGCGCAGGCGGCGCCATTGGTGTCTCCGGCGGCGCCATTGGTGTCATCGGCGACGGTGGTACTGGTGTCTCCGGCGCCGGCACGGGCATTGGAGCTTAATGCACCCGGGTGTACGCCGGCCGGCACCTCGCCAGCAAGCGGCCCCTCCGTCAGTTGCACGCCCGCCATTGGCGGTGCCTCGACATTAGCCGAGCTCGACGCCATCATCACGGTAACTAATTAAGCCTCTCGGCCGAGGACTTCATCTCCTTTTGCCTTTGACCGGGCATCCCTGACGCCCTACATGTTTTTGCAGGGCGCCGCCGACGTTCCGTGCACTCTCATGCACTTCGTGAACGACGAGTTGGTCGATGTCGCCAAGGGAAAAATCATTCAACCGGGCAACCCCGTGTTCCACGGTAAACCGATGCCACCCACCATGTATAGGGTTCAACTGGATCGAGTGCTGCCAGGCTGCAACCAGTTGTTACCTCCGATTCAACCCGCTTGGGCCGACGAACAAGATCTGATGACCCTCAGCGCTTGCCTAAGCTGGCCCCTGCTTTGGCCGAAGAGCCAGATTCGTTTGGGGGCGGGGGACACCACCCCACAGACAAGACCGCCAGTCGTGCCGGCGCCGCGCCATGGCAAGAACGCCGCAACGCTACCGGACATGTCAGACATCCCTATGGCACAGGATCCGGACATGCATATGGCACAGGATCCGAACGACGACGACAACGACGACGATACATTTACCAACGTCGATAAGTACTTTTTCAAACATGGGTACAGTGACGAGTTCGGTGGGCCTCCTTCTCAAGAACGCAACCAAGACGACCGCGATCTAGCTGGTACGACGGAGAAATCCAATTGCAACAGGCGTCGTCTGGCGTTCAGTTCTCAGGAGACGCCTCCAACTCCTGCCTTCACCGAGCCTCAGATAGCTGAGGTGCGAAATATTATCAGCCCCAACACGCTCAAGAAGGCGGTCTGTGAGCAGAACTCGGTCCCATTACAACAGATCAAGAAGAAGGGACGGAAATGAAAGACTGCCAAGGGCGCCGGTGCGAGCCAGCCGGCACCGAGTACGATCCGTGCTCAGGACGGGCCACCTTCACCTCAGGATATCTCGAGGAGGGTGCATGTGGCGGGTAGGGCGATGCTACCGACAAATATGCTCAATGCTGCAACCGGTGCTATGCGGAGTTTCATGACAGCGTTCTTTCTTTGGAGAAGCGGCGTCTCTCCCAGAAAGATGTGGCATACCCGGTTTTCGTGGCCAAGATGCCAGAGGGCAAGGGCTTTGTGGATGGCACCATCGGGGGTACGATCGTCCTGCGGTTTGATGACATATTTGCTATGTTTAATCTTCATCCGCTGCACTACACCTTCGTTTGACTATTTTCGCTGAGTATGGAGATGCGGATCATTCGAGACAAGACCCCGGACATCGTGATAGTCGACCCCTTCTACATGCGTGCCAAGATCTTGGGCAGCGCTGGGGACCGGCAAGTCGCAAGTTCACACCTCGAAGGCGTCATTCTGGCAAACCCAGATAAGGATAACTTCCTCGTGCCTTACTTTCCCGAGTAAGTCATCCCCTCACCGCCCCATAACATATGATTTCTTAGATTTCGATCGTTCTTTTTTTTCTAACATTCTGTGTTCTGTGCAGTGACACACATTGCACACTCATCCTCTTAAGCCCGAAATATTCCACGGCCACGTATTTCGACCCGGACCGTGACTCCAAGATAGACTACACAAATATCAAGAAAGTTCTTGATGATGCTCTCCCCGGCTACGCCACATCTGGAGGCACCTTTAAGAGGCCAGTTCGTAGGTACGGCAGACACGTGTTCACCCACAATACGACGTTCCCCTGTGTCAAGCAGCCGCCTGGCGGTCAGAAGGATGCCTACTACGCCCTCCATCACATGAGGGCGATCGTACGGGACCATAATCACCTTCTGCTACCAAATAATGTCAAAGATTGGGCCGCAAGCTTGGCGGCAATCCAGGACGCGGACCTCCGACAAGAATTCTTTTGCATCCAGTCGGAGTTTGCAGAAATCATCCATCAAGATGTCCTTCGTACCTCGGGGCAGTTCTACCTCAGAGAGCAACCGTCCAACAGTGAGATAGACACAACACTTCAAATGCAGGCTGACAACACCCGCGACTTCATGACCATCACGAAAGACGACGGCTTCATCCACGCTTTGGTCCCATGAGTCGAGTCGAAAGTAGTGATGCTATTTGTAGTTCTGAAACATCGATTAGCTCATGTTGTAATTAAACTTTAATGAACTTGTATGTCTCTTTGGTTTGGACATTCGTTCAACTTAGATGTAATCGATGCTATTTATTAGTAGGACCATGAATCGTGCTATTAATGTCTTACTTTTCTCTTCCGATCCTTTTGTTGCATACTTATATATTGCTTATGTATTGTCTGTTGTCTGGCTTGTGCATAGAGATGCCGTCGTATGTCGTGTACAAGAGTAAGGTTCCCGGAGTCTACGATGACTGGGAGGAGTGTTGGAGACAGGTTCACCGTTTCAGCGGTAACAGTTACAAAGGGTACATCACTAGGGCAGAGGCGGAATCTAGATATGCTCGCTATCTAGCGGGAGAGAGGAGGGAGCGTTGGAGGAACCGGGTGAAGACCAGTTTCATCGCGATGATGCTCATCGTGATGACCGCAGCTCTCTTCTATGTGATGGTAGTTTAGATGATCGATATCGACTTGTAATGTGAAGACAAACTCGCTACTCGCGGTCTCCGAGACTTGTAATGTTCTATCTTCGTTCGGTCTTTTGTATTCGGAGACTAATATGATGAATTGTATTCGGAGACTTACCTTCTATTGTATTCGATGAATCTGCTGTTGCTGTGTGGTGCTGTCTATATTCTGTAATATATCTTGTAACCTATGAAAAAATAAAAATAAAAATAAAAAACCCTAATATTAATACTAATGGCGCACCACACAAGACACTAATGGCGCACTGTTATAATCACACTAATGGCGCATCACCCACTGGTGCGCCATTAGTAAGCCAAAGCACATGTGTACATATGGCCCTCTGGGAGGCATTCTAATGGCGCACTGTAGGCTATACTAATGGCGCACTACTTGGTGCGCCATTAGAACACCAGATACTAATGGCGCACCAGAGGTGCGCCATTAGAATTTAATTCTAATGGCGTGATGCTAGTGACGCACCAGTAGTGCGCCATTAGTAGGCAAAACTGGTGCGCCACTAGCATGCCTTTTCCTAGTAGCCTTGCGAGCTTTGTTCATCTCCAGTAGCCTTGCGGCGTCTTCGGCATTGGGAGATCTCAAATACTCCTGGCCAAACACTTGCACAATTCCGACGCGACACACAGGATGGCTTGACTCTCACACATGGCCAAGTGATCATCAACTAGATCAACGTGGATACCGTATGCCAACATACGCAAAGCGGTTGTCACCTTCTGAAAGGTGCTATGCCCGAGCTCTCTGGCGGCATTCCTCCTTTGTTGAATAAACCGGTCATGGTCGCTAGTTTCTGTGCAATGCGCCTGAACAACTCGATGCTCATTCTAAACCGGTGCCGGAAGTACGACTCGGGGTACACAGGAGGATCCGCAAAATAGTGCCTGATCAATCTGTTGTGGGCATCGATCCTATCCCTCCAAATTTTCTGCCGACCCATAACCGAACCACTGTGCTTCGGTTTTTTTATTGATGTGCATAGCTAGGATCATTGCAGGATTCTCCTCCTCTTCAATATCAAATTCTTCTTCGGAAGAATCATATGACGAACTCATCTACAATGTTCCATTTAAACTAGGCTATAAAAACTACGAACAACATGCACATAATCCATGTAAAAAATGTGAAGTTGAAGCAATACATACCTTGCAAGCGTTTTGTCGAACACCTTGCGGGCGCCGAGCAGCAGTGGGTGGCCGGGCGCTGTTCGTTGGAGGAATGCCGTGCATGAGGGGCGGCAGCGACTAGAGGGAGATGGAGGAAGCAGCGGCAACACGGGGATACGCCGGGGAAGCGCCGGAACGATCACCGGAAGAAATGGGTGGCGCGGGCGGCGGCTGCGCCAGCGGCTGGATTGGGGTAGGTGGTAGTTGCGAGCGGGGGCTCGAGTGTCCAGCGCGCGGGAGAGGGCGCAGCAAATAAACGGCGCGCGATGGCGTTTCGGCTGGCGTGCTGAACTAGTTATGCCGCGCGCACGATTTTTGCGCCTCCGCTGGAGCGCCCGGAGCGGTAGCGCGCGCACTAAAACCACTAATTTTTCAGTGGGGCGTCTGTTGGAGATGCTCTTAGCTAGGGCACATGTCCAACAAATTTGGTAGATGTCTGATGAAAAATGAATAAACTGAACCTTCAACGACCAATCAATTTTCTGGTTATATAGTGAGACATACAACAATGAAGTTTCAGACAAGATGGATTAAAAAAGTATTAAGAAGCACACTACCTTTTCTTAATATTTCTACATCAGGCTTAATAAGTCTCAAGACCTACTTGATACTAGTTCCTCCAGCCGCTGAAACTAATACTCATCACACTCCGACGACAACTTTTGGTCTTCATAGTACTGCCTAACATCCTTTGCAAACTGCACGTCTCTCCTAAAATCAAATACGAAATCAACGTCTAGCATTCGGTCGGTGCTCGTAGTCCCACCAACAGTAATATCAATATTACTCTCAAAATAGTCCGAAGAATCTAGAAACATGATCTTCCTCGCGGATCCGGTTCCATAGTAGCAACGACCTGTCACCAAAACCAGAGTTGATTATCTATCGAACACAACAAAACAACTCCAAGTTACCGCATCAGGAAGCGATTTTTCAAAGAGAAATGTTTGGCAAACCATGCTTATTTGCTCTGACCATTGGTGTACATCAAAAACAAGTGATTTTTCTCCACCCACAATGCACCCCCGGCCGAAAACATAGCAACAAAAAAAAAATCTGAAACTTCGTCGCATTAATTATGAACAAATGTTTTAGATTCTTGTGAAGTTTGGTGGCCAAATGACATCCAAATAGCTCTGTACAAAAACAAATTATGCTCAAACGTATGTGCACTTTTTGAGCAGATTTTTTTTTTGGTACTTAGCTCCTCGGATCTCATTAGATTATCAACAAATGTTAGGAAAAGTTGTGGCTACTTGGCTACACCCTAAGACACTACACCCCCGATGCACCCCCGGCCTAAAAGATACCAAAACAAATCAAGAAAATCAGAAACGTCGTGGCATTGATTATGAACAAATGTTATAGGTGCTTGCAAAGTTTGGTCGCCAAGGGGCTCCGTACAAAGAAACGAATGGTGCTCAAATGTATGCACACTGTTTTGAGCCGATTTTGTAAAAAGAAATTGTACAGAGCTTCTCGAATGTCATTTGGCTATCAAACTTTACAAGTACCTAAAACATTTGTTCATAATCAATGCCGCGAAGTTTCAGATTTTTTTTTGTTATGTTTTCGGCCAGGGGTGCATCGAGGTGTAGTGTCCTGAGGTGTAGAAAACCACCGTTTATAGTTTTAAACAACCGTTCTTGACAAGAAGAAGAAACCATTAGAAGTGCGCAGCATATCCCAAAAGAAATCTTGAGATGCTCAAAACATTTACACATGATTCAGCAGCAAGAGCACAGAAACGTATGTTTTGGGTAAAGCCAGACTCACGTCCGCTCCCGCGAGAGTGAAACCCTTCGTCCCGTCCGCTCCCGCGAGCGGCTGGGCGAAGCCCTAGGCGCCGCCGGCCCTAGCCCTCCCCTACCTCTCCTTCCCCTCGCCGCCGCCGGAGGGCGCGGCCGGGCAAAGCCTGGTCCGCGTCGGCGGCGGCGGGGCTCTCTTCCCTCCTGGCTTGGCGGCGCGCGGCACGGGACGCGGTGGTCGGCGGGAGCGCCGTGCTCGGCGTGGGGCGCGGCAGCGGCGAGGCGCGCCGGCGGCGTTGGCTGGCGTGCTGGCGGCGGTGGCTGCGCGGGCTAGGTGGGGCGTGCCTGCGCGTGGACGGCGGGGCTCGGCCTCTTGATCCAGATCGGGATCGGGTCCCTCCGGCGGGCTGCACGTGGGCGGCGCGGGCCGTGGCGGCGGGGTGGCGTGGCTGGAGGTCGTCGGCGTGCTCGTCGTGCTACAGACGGCGGCCTGGATGGAGGCGCGTGCGGGGGCCCAGTGGTGGCGGATGGCCCCGGCCAGATCTTCCGCTACCGCACCTTGCGGCGAGGGCCGTGGGCGGCGCGGGTTGGCCGCCTCTACAGCGCTCCGACGTGGTGGAGGCTCCGACGTGGTGGTGCTTCGGCGTGCTAGCTCGTGGTGGCTCGGTCCGGCGTGTTCGGGTGGATGCGGGTGGCTCGCCGGAAGCGGGAGGTGCGTGTCCGGCGGCTCCGACGCTTGGAGCTCGGCGGGCGGCGCGAGTTGGGTAGTGGTCCGGTGTGGCTGCTGCTCCGGCCGTGGATGGCTCCATGGCAGCTTGGCAGGTCTGGACCGTTTCACGGCGGCGGATGGTCTCCTCTGGCGTCGGCCGTCGGTGAGCGGCCTTTTTCGACCTTCGATTCCTCCCCTCGTCGTCCGGGCTCTACCCTCGTCATAGGGCTGGACCGCTCCCAGTTGCGGTCCATTGCTCGTCTCGCACCCGTGGCTGGGAGACAGAGCTCGTCTCGCGCCCGGCAGCAGGACCGAGCTCGTCTCGCGCCCGGCAGCAGGACCGAGCTTGTCTTGCACCCGGTGTAGCAGGACGGGTGATGGAGGCCTTTTTTGGGCCGGCCCTTTGGGTCTCAGCGCCGGGGGCCGTCCAGGGGTGTGTAAAGGAGCGACCTTTCCACTCATCTCTTTGGTTGGGGTAGCGACGGGTCTCGGGTGCGATGGTGTCAGGGTCTTGGATGCCGGGGCGGCGGCCCTGGTGGTGGTAGCGCGGTGCTCATGGGCAGATCCCATGGCTTGGTGCTGCCCGGTGACCATGGTCGTGTGGGCGGCATGGTGGCAGGGGTGTGGCGTTCGGTGGCGGTGAGTGTTTGCTGGGGTGAAAACCTGTTCTATCCTCGGACGGACCAGCGGTGGCATAGCGCGTTACCTTCTTGAAGGCGTCGTCGCGGCTCTCACTGGTCATTGTATCGCTCCAGGGGAAACTCTGACCCCCGGGTCAGGCGGTGGCGGCGCGCTAGCGTCGTAACCTTCTTGGAGGCGCCGCCTTGGAGCTCACGATTCGTCATATGTGGCCTCATCTCTTCGCGGTGGCGTGTTCACGGTGGAGGTCCCCGATTGCTCTTGTAGTGTTAGGGGTGGTGTTGCTGCGCTCAGCGCCTATGTATCCCGCCTTGGGGGTGTACGTGTGTTGTCGTGGGTTGTGTTTGTACTTGGACTGTGCTTGATCTGTGCTTTATATATAAAGCGGGGCGAAAGCCTTTTTCGATAAATGTATGTGTTGATTCCTTCCAGAACACATGATATGTAAACCACATAAATGTATCTTGGTGTCCGCAAAAGATAACCAAAGTGATTAACCGAGGACACAAGGATGGTGGATATCCAATGAAACGAAAGCATATATAGCATCGTAACTCGTAGATAAAAAGAAAAAAAATGGCTTAATGAAAATCAAAGGCATTTCGATGAAACAGAAAAAACTTCATTATTTAATGTTTCAAACCTGCATGGCTGCTGATGCTACTTGTAAAGGGAGGAGGTGTTACCTTTATAAGTCAGGGGTAGAGGGCAGCAGAAATTTGGTTTTGGCTGTTGTTCAGGACACAGGAAATTGAGTTCGGCGAAGAAGAGTTTGTTTTCAGCAATCCCTGATTCGAGAGCGGCCACAAAATTAACGTGGTAGCAATAGCTATCTAAGGATTCGATGTTAGTAGCCTCGACACCACAGATAACACTTGGCACATATTTTGGTTCCTACAACAAGCGCAGCAACAATATCATAAAGCAGCAGATCATATAGATGACTTAAAAGAATATGTATGTATGCACGAAATGAATAGCGACAAAGGCAAACAACATAAAGACATGTACCTGAGGATGCTCAGCAGCATAATTCTTCAGCACTTTTGCAAGCCAAGAGCGAATGAATAATTTCTTCTGGTTATAATCACACCTCTTTCCTAACAGGGTCTCCTTAGCCTCCTTGCACAGTTGCGCCTCTTCCATGGGAGGTTCGGGAGACAAGGGCGGTGCGATTCTTGGATAATGCGCTCTATTTCACTGATAGATTCAGAAGAGATCACGCCATTTGTACCTGTGGTCAGCAGGCGTCGCATGTTAATCAGCATGTCCGGCGTCAGGGATGCGAGAAATGATCCTAGAGCAGCATGCTGTGGGTGTCGAGCCGCAGCGGCTGCGGCAGCAAACTGTTGCAGGGTGTGCGTCTTGTCAGACAGGTCACAACATTTGCAGCAAAGCTGCTCCATCACCCGCTGCATCGAGGATCTAGACTCAGAATTTGCTCCAACGAGGGCAATGAGGCCTTCCAAGGAACGGACCTCCACGCGAAGCATAGAGAGGGTGTCGAGGATGTCGTACACCTGGATATCAAAGTCTGCCGATGGGAGCAGGCACACTATACTGTGCCAAATGGAGCTGAGGATGATGTTGGAGATGGGGTCCATGGGGCCATAGCAGTGTCCAGCCCACAATATGTCGCGGATGAGCCTGTTGCGTGAGGGGGGAAGCATGGTGAAGACTTTGGACGCCGCACAGAAAGAATATTTCCCTATGAGAGCCACACTGCTCACGACGGTGCACGACTATCTCGGTTACGGATATCTCGCGGGGCAGGTGGTCCACGGATTTTCTGGATGCGTCAGGTGCATGGATGACACAACGTATCGCCAGCTAGATAGAGATCCCGGGTCTTCGAAAACCGTGTTCATGGGACATCGAAGGTGGCTTCGCGACGATGACCCGTGGAGGAAACGCGAGGATCTGTTCGATGGTGAAACCAAACCCCGAAGACGCCCGCGTACGAGGAGCGGCGAGAAAATAGACCAGCTGTTGAAAAATTGGAAAGATTGCCCACTGCCGGGAAAGAAGCAAAAGGCGCCAGATCCGGGAAAGAAGCGAAATGCGCCAGAGCCACTGCTGAAGGTGTGGAAAACGAGGTCTGTTTTCTGGGACTTGCCGTACTGGAAGATCCACTGTGTGCCTCACAACCTTGATGTCATGCATATCACAAAGAATGTGTGCGAGAGTCTGCTTGGTACCCTGCTCAACATGCCAGGGAGGACCAAAGATGGGCCTAAAGCAAGGGCAGACTTGAAATCAATGGGCATCAGGGAGGAGCTTCACGCTAATGATCATGATGATGATGAGGCGGAGCAGGACACTGAAAGTCGTCGCAAAGGCAAAAAGGCCAAGAAGACCGGAAATGACTACCCTCCCGCGTGCTTCACTCTAAGTTAGGAGGAGATCGATCAGTTTTTCACCTGCCTCGTAGGAGTAAAACTTCCTTATGGTTACGCGGGGAAGATAAGCAGATACCTAGACCCAGCGAAGCAGAAGTTCAGCGGGATGAAGTCTCACAACTGTCACGTGCTGATGA